TTTCTAAAGAATAATAGGGGAAATTTATTGGAAATGTAAATATTGAAGAAAATAGAGCATTTTGAAATTCATTGAATTAAATTTAAAATCATTCCAAAATACTCTTCATAGCTACATGATCTATACTTAATTTTTTTTTATTTTTGGTTATAAAGCTAAATGACTTAATACATTCCTTAAATTAGAGAGAAAATTGGATGCACATTTTATTTACCAGAGCTTGACCTTATAAGTGGACATATTCAAGACTGTCTCATGTAATGATATTAGCCAACTTATTGCGATATTGTGAATGTATGCAACTATTTTGAGGGAATGCAAAAATCTTTTTTAAAAATTCTTCAGTTGCAGACTAAATAGGGAAATCTTGATGAAAAGTGTTCTAGTCGAAGATGTGTTGAAGATTGTGTGTAAATTTTGTGATATCTATTATGCAAAGATGTGCATTTCTTTAGCCTACATAATTATTTGTTGATTATTCATGTATATTTTTAATGGTTGGTGTTTGATTACAATATTTCTTTCATGCATGTAGCATCTATATATTATATCAATTTTATGGATTTTAATTTTTTTTATCAGAATGAATTTGATAATATTTTGAAACCATTAAATTAATTTTGTGCAAGTTTAACTGGTTTTTAAAATGAGTTTGATTCATTACTAGAGTGTTTATTTCTTAAAGTCACTGACAAAATTATGTTGTTAATTGATACATTGTATAATCATTTTGTTATGACTATTCATGAATGATATGTTGTAAATTATTTATTGAATAAGTGACATTTTTCACAAAGAAAAGAATGTAAAACTGATATTTTGTTACAGTGTGAAAGAATATCAGAAGTGCTTTGGTAAAACTTTCAATTTTTCCACTTGAATAGAGAGTGTTGTAAGTTCTATGGTCGATTCAATGTCCTTGTATCTGTAGAATTATTTATTTACCTCTTTATAATAAATATACCAAAAATTGGATTAGTAACCCATAGATATCTTTCATACAGAATATTATTTACTGGAATGCAATGCATTATGTAGTATATTCGAAAAGATTTTTCGTTGCAGAAATACTATGTACATTCAAATATTATAAAATTCTGTAATTTCATGACAAGTACTGATCCAGCATTTTCCCGAAAATTGTGTATATTTATCTCCAAAAATTTTGACACAGTCTGTCCTCCTTTAATTTCTGCTCGTCCATAATTATTGTTAATACTGTATACAGGGTTATTTTCGTCCCGTGTTATTTTCACCCTTTTCCACTTGCGAACAATTTTGCCCCGTTTTAAATTCGCCTAGTTTTAGTTCTCTTTAAGAAATTATGCTGTGTAATTCGAATTCGCCCCGTTTTAAATTCGCCCGATCAAGAATAGGGCGAAACTGGGGCGACAATTTCCCTGTAAACAGTATGTATATATGTACATCTTGTACCATACATATGGTTTTGAAATAAATGAATGAATGTAAGCAAATGCAATAAATCATAATGTCAGTTATTGACTGACGTTTTTCATACCAATCGTTAAGCCATTATTTACACAATGAATTGTCTATGTATTTTTCCATTTACACGATCAAGACAAGGAGTACATGGTAGGTGTGATTTGTCTACCGGGATGTTTACCCCTCCACGGTACCGGATCCTATATCAGATGCCTGGTCTGTTTGGTCTCTCCCGATCTGTATTGCATTAATAAACTTGTCATTTTGATTACAGCTCATTATCTCCATATTTCATTATAAAAAATTCTGACCTGTCAAATCAGAGAGTAAATAAACCATCCTGACAAAATAGCACTGCCAAAATTTTCATATGTTATTGAAGTACATGTTTTCAAACACACTATCGCTATTCGTATCAGCCACACAACTACATATGACCTCAAAGCCGAAGACTCTGAGTTACGAAGTTCCAGACAAACGAAAAGGGAAAATAAACGGCAATATAATAAATAATAAATTTAATATTTTATTATAGTCTTCAAATGATATTGAACAATATGGAATTTATTTTACGAGTGGTCAGGATTTTCTTTTATATTGACACATGTGAATCACGATTTAACATGAGAAAAAATCCTGTTTCACGAGTGAAATAAATATCATGTCTTTTAAAAAACTAGTACAGTTAAAAAATCATTCATGAAGCCAATTAATTAATTTTTTGTCCAAATCCCAACATTTAAACATTTTTCTACCTTTTTTTCAAATAAAGAAAATTGTCACTTCAAAAATAATTTATTACCAAAATATTTTACAACAGCTTTTAAAATCTATCTGCATGATACTTACATTAAAAAGTGCCATTTTGTCAAATTGTTTTTGCATGATCAATTGTATATACATGAATACACAAATTTTCTTTAAGCACAACTCAAAAAATGCTCACTTAATGAATTTAATCAACATTGTGTTTGCATTCTTACTTTTCGGTTAAAGTTGAATGTTAATCGATAAAAACAAAAACAAAGAGTCATAAATACATCACAGTACCTAGTAGATAAAACAATACTGAAGGTTAAGTGCTGAAGCTTGAAGATTCTCTTTCTATCTTTCTCTCTCTCTCTCTCTCTCTCTCTCTCTCTCTCTCTCTCTCTCTGCTTCTTAGTGTCTTTCTCTTTCCAACAGAAAGGATAATGCTTCTCACAAGAATCCAAAGGTTGTAATGAAGTGATGTTGTTTTATGTACTGGACTGAATATTACAAGACCACTATATTCCCTTTACTCTCCTGATACCTGTCAAACACAAGACAAAAATATATTCAGTCTTTAAATTCGGTTGTATAATGTATTTCTTCTGAAGTTAGGCACATGAAAAGACAAAATGAAATATTTTTTTATAAGCATATTGACAGTAAACAAGGGAACATATTATTCATCATACAAAAAGACTGCATATTTCTAAATACATGTCCATGACTGGACACCAATAAAATATTTTAAACCTTTTTTTGGCATATGGTATTTGTACTAAACGATAGAAAGAAGACAGATCATTTATTTCTCGACCCTGTAATGAAAAAAACCCCAAAAATAACTTCCAAGAAAAAAAATGCCAAAATATATAAAAAAGATATTAGTGATTTCAACAAATTTAGATTAACCTTGTACACAGAAAAAATATTAAGGGATATGCTGTATAATTCAATTGTATAAGGTTAATCTATATGCTGTGTTATGAACTGATATATACATTACGTGAAGATGTTGTAAAAACTAGAGGTACTGTGAGCAATGAGCTCACTAAATGATACCCCCCGCCTCCCATATGAACAAAATGGCAGTGTCCATGTTTTGCTCCGGAAAATCCAAAATATATGTCAGATCAAAAAGTAAAATAGGAGATGCACAATGGCAATATGTAATAAAGATTCTGTGAATCGATGGATACAAGTTTTACATGGATACCCACTTCCACCCAATGTGCTTTATAAATAATAATTAATTTCATTACAACATGTATTGGTAACAATCCTCTGTTAAAACTAATGTCCAAATAACTGTATCCCACTTCTATTCTCAATGACCGTGTAGTGTAGGGCAGCGCCGCGAGAATTCCATCGGCATCGAAAGCAAGTTTGCCTAGATAGCCGAGTGGTCTAGCGCGCTGTTCCTGCACTGAGACAGATTCAGAAGGTCGATAGTTCAACCCCGGGCTGGGGCGGAAGTGGGTATCCATGTAAAAAGTGAATTTCTTTGTGCTTTCTATATATATATTTATAATATATATATAACCATTAAAGAACATAAACTGAGTAATCCGTATACAACTCCCCTCCCCCCAAAAAGGATTACCATCGAGGAAAAAATAAATTTTGCACATATTAGAAGTGTTTCGTTGTACCAAGACCAAACTATCTTGAAATAAATTTTGTGCTCATTATGTTAATTCTAAAAAAAACCCCTAGTACATGTAGTACAAAGAGAAAATATATATATATTATAATGATTTTTTCCTGTTTGACTTGAAAAACATTGATATTAAATCAAAGCAACTAGATGCACACAAGTAAAATCCCGCTCTGATGTGAATATACCTTCTCATGTTGACATTGAATTCGTACAAAAAGGAATCCTACCATATGGCATGCTCAAAGAAAGAGTGCGCTAAAATTCCAAGCATCTGCGAGGAGTAGATGTTTGAAAACTGCAACAAGAATTTGTTAAACACAGTCACAGATAAATAGAAAGTTGAGGTCGGATTTGAATAAAAATTAATACCACCATATGGCTGCTTAAACAAAGAATGTGCAAAAATTCAAGTATCTGCGATGAGTAGTAGCTGAGAAAACTACGACAAAAATTTGTTAAGGACAGATACACAGACACATGGACACACAGACAGACACACATGGGTAAAACAGTATACGCTCTTTAGGAATAAAAATGTTTAAACAGCAAGGCAACGTATATATTTATTTTTAAGATAAAATAAAACTACATAAAACTACCACTAGAGATCAATGATCAGTTCCTCGCCATTCCACTTTTTGCAGAAAATATGCATTATCTCCCTTTAACCATGATTTCAGATCATTGAGTCATGCTTGGTAAAACTGTAATAGTAATAATACTTTTCAAAAAAAAAATGATAATAAAAAACAAAAATAAAACACACATGTAACAGTGTAGAAACCATCATTTATTTAACAATGAAATGTTAGATTTAAGGAAAATTGAAAACAAGAAAAAGAGTATGTGACATGGGATATTTTTTTAATTTATATTTATTAATTGGTTACGCTTGAAAAGAATCTTCCAGAATTTTTAAATATAAAACTTAAAGAGAGATCAAAATCATTATGACATATCGAAAATAGTGGGGAAAAAAATCAAGAAAGCTAGCTGTCCAACATGGATAGCAGAGACTTTACTTGACCAACAACAAAATATTAGAGAAGATCAGTGTGGCAGACGAAGGAGAAAAACATCATTAGCATATGCCTTTCAATATTGTGTCCCTCGATCACCAGCCGGAAATTATGAAAACTTGTGAGGCAGTTGATTTCTCATTCTTCATTTGCTGTATCTTTTTAAATCTAAAAAAAAAAATCAAAATAGCAGCTGGTCTTCTTTAAGAAATACGCCACTTAATGAGAGTGAAGCACTGAAAAAATCATTTTATCATTCCATCTACAAGCAATATGTTGTTGGATTAATTTTAGATGATATGTCCATCCAATTATATTTACAGATCTACTCTAAAAATAATAAAACTGTTATAACTGATTTTACTAATCTTGGAATGAGTCAGTTTTGGTTAAGAAAACTAAAACCTAGACTTCAATGGACATATTAAGTAAAATCAAATTTGCAGTATATAGGGTTTTTTGGATTAACTTGTTTTCGTCATTTCCCTACTACACTTGTATCATCGTGATCTTTCTATTCTTACCTGGGAAATTATAAACATGCTGCAGATCTTTGGCTTTACTGTTAGGTACATCAGCACAGAGATTTCTAGCCAAACAGAGATTATTCTAAGTAACTGAAACGATGACAAGAATGAAAATATCAAAAATTCATTTTCCTAAATCTCCATCAATAGAATTAATTATGGATTTTTCCAAAGCTGTAAAGAAAATCAGAGATAACACCTTCAAAAGTACTTTATCTGGCACTTGCGGAAAGAAAATTTAGAGATTAGACACTATATATGGCTCAATTTCTATGATGCACAAAAATATGTGGAATAAAACGCTAAATTTCCTTATACTTTATTTAAGACTTACAATTGAACATTTGGAACTTACAAGAGATGCAAAAATGAGAAACTAACCTCTGAAGTTAGTCTTGGACAGAATATGTCACATATTTTGCATTGTTATGGGAATACATTCCAGGATCCATCACATCTCCAGAGCACTATCCAGTTGTTGCAAAACACAAGTCAAGTGATTGATATATTCCGTAACCACCTCCCATCATTTCTAAATCGGATGAGAGAATTAGCACCTTAAAAGACATATTAGACTGTTTTGAAATGAGAATACGAAATAATAAAATTTGATGACTTCTTTCAAACAGAAAAATATCGTTTTGGTATCACATTAGACTGAGGGTAAGGCTATTTCACCTCATATCACAGGCTTCAGGGAACTTTACACAGACAATTTCAATCATCAGCTGTAGGAATTTATAGAAATGTATCAATAAATGTATACGTTATGTAGGGACACTAGGTATGTCAGATCACTTTATGAGACGTTTTGAATTTTGAAACCTGCAATTGTCAACATTAATTGTTTGTTTTATTTATATAGTACATAAAAAGGTGATCTTTTCTCACGAGAATGTATAATTTGAACTTACGTAGAAAACGCTTGAACCTATTTTTTTCAATTTTGGGGAGAGAAAGGACAAGTGACATCCTTTAGATTTTATGAACCTATTTTTCAGAGTAGCATAGTACGTGGTAGAAGACAACTGTTGATAGTTCATTCAAGTAACATGAATATATCTCAATTAAGAGATAGATCAGTAACTGTACTTTTTAAACTTGCATCGAGAAGAGTAAAGTCAGATTAAAAATATTAAAGATAATTTAGAATCAATCAAAAAATCTACAATAAAGAACATTTCAAAATAGATGTCTTTATTACTGAATACATTAACAAGGAATTGGAAAATTTGATAGAAATAGACGGATCAATAAGTTAATATATCATAGTGGGGCTTAAGAAGACAACTCACCATACCAGATATATTGTTGTTGTTTTTTCATAGACGTGTAGATAACACCCTCAATGGTTACATGTTTTTATTATACATTGCATCAACCAGGGAAATATTTGTATCGTGGGTCTCAATAATACTAATTTACACGAAAACTTTATTAATAGATTTTACTTTAAAAGTAGGGAGGAAAGACCAGTCTCCTCCTATAATGTTTTTGTAGGATTTTCTGCCTGTAGACTTACAGTAGCTGAGAGGGATGAATTACATATGGTGTTAACTAACAAGCTGTATTGTTAATTAATTATTAAATTAATTCAAAATTAATAGTGGAAGGAATTATATAAATGGAGATTAGATATTCATTAAAATTTGAATCTTGTTTATTCAGAATTAAATTTACTACAGCTATGGCTATCATCAGATATGATGTTGTTGTTGTTTTTAAAATGTAAATAACACCCTCAATGATTATATGTTTTTACAGTAAAACTCGTTTAGTAGAACATGGATATTATGAATTCACAAATACAGCGAAGTCACCTTGAATCCCTAGCTATTTACATTTCATGAATTTCATATCAGGATATAACGAATTATGGATATATAGCAAAGTTATTTAGTAGGCCCCAACGACTTCGTAATAACTGAGTTTTGTTGTAAAATAGATCAATCAACCAGGGAAATATATGTATCGTAGGTCTCAATACATTTAATTCACAGGAAAACTTTATGAATAAATTTTACTATAAAAGTAGGTAGGAAAGACTAATCTCCTCCTATAATGGTTTTGAAGAATTTCCTGTCTGTAGACTGTAGCTGACAGGGATAATTACATATATGGTGTTAACTAAGATATTGTATTGTTAATCAAATAGTAAATTAAATTTTAACTAATCGTGGAATGAATTTTATAAATGAAGATAAGAAAATTCATTACATTTGAATCTTGTTTATTCGAAAGCTATTACAGCAAACCATGGTAAAATTCTTCAAGGCGCAACGGCAGACATTACATATTTCTTCCACAAAAAGTGAGAAGAAGCGTAAAGTACTTCCGTACCGTATTTCTCCCCCCGATCATGTCAGTTATTTAAAATCCGCCTGAATATTGTCTTATTTAGTCATTATTACATTGTACGTGGCGGACGTAACTTTTTGTAAGTCATTTTATATTCTCTATTGTAAACATTTTCAAAAACAACTGTTGTGATTTCACTTAGTTTAAATAGTGACATCAAAAAAAGATAAAATTAAACACGTGAAAGATAATGTTGACTTAAATCAGATAAAAGCATTGACAACTTCAGAAATGGGTGTATGTTACGTATATGTTATGTTATGGAATATAGGGAAGACAGATCACTTTATGAGATGTTTTGTCTGTTTGGAAACTGCAAATGGCAACAGCAATGGTCAATCGTACTTGTATAATACATAAAAAGGTTATAGTTTCTCTTGAGAGTCTATAATTTTTAGTCATGCAGAAAACACTTGAGCCTCTTTTTTTTCAAGCAAAATTGGGAAGAAGGGACAAGTAACATCCTTTAGATTTTATGTGGGATATTCCTGCAGTAGTCTCACGGAACATAGCAGGGATAATTTCTTTCTATCAACAAAGACATTGTGTTGTTTATCAATCAGTATATTAACAACAAATCTATTGTGAGGTCAACTTGATGAATTAAGACGAGCGATTCATTTGTTTCATAATTTAAATTGTCAATCCCTGACCTATTCGGACAAATTGTCACTTAAAATATCTAAAGGAAAAGGACAAACAGGAAAATGTGAAATCAATATCTACGTGTAATATATTTAAAAATTAAGGAAGCTCATCAAAAGTATGTCGTATATTTTGTTTCAACCACAGTTTCCTGAAAATAGTTTCATCATTTGTTTGTATATTCAGTCAGAGTAGCATAGTACGTGTTTGAAGACAACTGATGTTAGTTCATTCAAATAGCATGACTATATCTCAAGTAAGCGATAGATAAATAACTGTCCTTTTTAAACTTACATCGAGAAGAGTTAAGGCAGGTTATAAATATATTAAAGATAACTTAGAATAAATAAAAATATCTACAATAAAGAACATTTCAAAATAGATGTCTTAATAACTGGATACATTAACATTCGATTTTGATATTTGATAGAAATAGACGGATCAATAAGTGAATATATCATAGTGGGGCTTAAGACAAATCGTTACATCAGATATTTTTTTGTGTGTGTGTGTGGGGGGGGGGGGTTCAAACGTGTAAATAACACCCTCAATGGTTATCTGTTTTTATTTTACGTTGCATCAACCAGAGAAATATTTGTATCGTAGATCTCAATAATTTTAATTTACACGAAAATTTTATGAATTACTTTTACAAGGAAGGAAGGACTAGTCTTCTCCTATAATCATTTTGTAGGATTTCCTGCCTGTAGACTCACAGTAGCTAACAGTGATAAGTACATATGGTATAGTGGCATCAAAAAAAGATAAAATTAAACATGTGAAAGATAATGCTGACTTAAAGATAAAATCCCTTTTAAATGCAACTTCAGAAATGGGTGTATGAAGAATAATAATTGAGTACGGTTATATTGTATTGGAAGTATCTGTAGATGTGCATCAATAACTTTATATGTTATGTAAGGAATAAAGGGAAGACAGGTCACTTTATAAGATTTTTTTTTTTTTGGGGGGGGGTTATAACCTGCAAATGGCTACATCAATGGTTTGTCGTTTGTTTTACTTATATAGTACATAAAAAGGTGATATTTTCTCTTGAAAGCTTATAAGTTTAACTCGCACATAAAACACTTGAACCTCTTTTTTCATAAAAAATGGGGAGAAGGAACAATGAACTTTCTTAGGATATTATCAAAGTGGGGCTTAAGGGATGACAAATCGCCAGATAAATCACTAATTCAGATATTTTGTTGGCTTTTTTCTCGAATGTGTAAATAACACCCTAAATCGTTAGATGTTTTTACTATACATTGCATCAACCAGGGAAATATTTGTATCGTAGTTATCAATAGATTTAACTTACACGAAAACTTAATTTATTTATTCTACTATAAAAGTAGGAAGGAAAGACCATTCCCCTTCTATAATGTTTTTGTAGGATTTCCAGCCAGTAGACTCGCAGTAGCTGACAGGGATAATTACATATAGTGTGAACTAAGAAATTATACTGTTAATTAATAAGAAATTTAAATTTATAATTAATCATGGAATTGATTTCAAAAATGAAGATTAGTAATTCATGAAATTTGAATCTTGTTTTTTCGAGAGCTACTACAGCAAAGGAAGGTAAAATTCTTCAAGGCAAAACGAAAGACGAAAAAGCGTAGCTACAATTGTACATGTACGGTGTTTTTGTTAGCACGATCATGTCTGTGTGTTTTTTTTTTTCAAATGCAACAGTGCATTTCAATCTATCATAATCGCATTGTACGTGGTGGAATGAAATTTTATATAAGTCATTTTAAATTCTCACTTGTAATAATTCTCAAAAACAACTATTGTAATTTAATTTACTTTAAACAGTGGCATCAAAATAGGATTAAATTTTATAAATATGTTAAAGATAATGCTGACTCAATTAAGAAAAAAATCTCATATAAAGAAAATTGATTTCAAAAATGAAGAGTAGTATGAAAAGTAGTAATTCATGAAATTTGAATCTTGTTTTTTCTCATTCTCATTTCTCATTTTTCTCATTCTCATTTCTCATTCAAATTTCAGAAATAGATGTATTAAGAATGAGATTTGAATACGGTTACATGTATATTACAGTGAAAGAATTTGTATCAATATAACGGGATATGCTATGGCAAGAGAAATCAATGTATGAGATTTTTTTTTTGTTTTTGGAGCCTGCAAATTGCAACATGAATGGTTCGATGTTTTCCCTATAAAGTACATAAAAAGGTGGTATTTTCTCTTGAAGGTCTATGAATTTTACTTACACAGAAAACACTTGCATCTCTTTTATTCAATAAAAATGGGGAAGAAGTACAAGTAACATTCTTTAGATTTTATGTGGAATCTTCATAAGTCTAAGAGTTACTATACCTAGCAGGAATACTATTTCCAGACCTATTCGGATAAATTGGGACTTTAAATAACAAAAGCAAAGGAGAAACGGGAAAAGCTAGAATAATATCAGTGCCCTGTTCAACAGAGCAAGCACAA